TGAGAGGGGGAACGATAGTTTGCCTCGGATGTGTGCGACCCTCAATAGCAACTTCTATACGAAAGGCAAACGGTTTGAGGCTGTCACGCAGGGGGTACACGATCCCCTCGGCGGCGCCAGCGACGACCCCCTGGCACGCGTGATTCAAAAAAGGGTTCGCGCCCCGCGGGGTCTATTCATCAACCCCGGGGGGAGGGGGGCCTTTTGTTAATCACAAGCTGACATTACAGGTTGTTGTCTTGGACACGGGGGCTGCCCCCCAATATTCATGGAACTTGAAAAGGACGGGTCTTTCGGGGAACCGCACGAACACGTGGATATTAGCAAAACTGCGCGGAGGGATCTCGAATGGACTATACCTCTCTCTCTCTATCTATATGTATATATATATATATATACATACATGTAAATACATTTATATATATATATATACATATGTAAATATAAAGATGCCGGATGTGTGTGTGTCCCGAGAATCGAGTTGGAGAATCCCCAATTCCCCTGAGCTCTCCGCCCTCTCGCGGACCCCAAATGGGCAGAATTCCCAGGGCCTCCCGCATGCAACGACCCCGCGCGGCATTTGTTGGAAGTCAAGAGGACCTTAAAATGTGCCACAAGGGCTCCAATAGGCACCCAAGACGATTCAAGGCCAAAGAAAGCTCAAAGACGCCCAAGACGGCTCCACGATGGCCCATGAGCCATGAGGCACACAAGATGTCCCAAGAGAGGCCGAAGCGCTCTCCCAAGAGGGCCTCTATGAGGCCAACATCATGCACTCTCCGTAGGTTTTGAAGCGATGTTGGCGCTCCCGCCGTTTCTGGATCCCGACGCTTCAAGACGACCCAAGAGGCCCCAAAGATCGCCCCAAGAGATCCCCAAGAGGTCGCCAAGACGGCCCGAGAGGACCCCAAGCGACGAGGCCTGTTCCTCCTCACCTCGCGGTCGTCCCACTCCTTCCCCCTCCTCCAGCCTCCTCAGCCTGCTCCGCTCAAGTTCGATCGATTCTGGGACGTTTCGAACCAAGAGATGCGACGATCAGTGGTGGGCTCCTCCTCCTCATCACCATCCTCCTCTCCTCCTCTTTCTCCCCCCCACTCCACTCCACTCCTCCTCCTCCTCCTCATCATCATCGTCATCAGCATCATCAGCATCATCATCATCATCATCATCATCATCATCATCATCAGCATCATCATCATCATCACTTTCTCATCGATCGACCGATTGTGCGACGAGTCAGGCCAAGAGATGCGACGAACAGGTGCCCTATCAAGCTTCTGCAGCTCTGTAGCTTGTGAAACAATCACGGCGGCAAATTGTTCACCACTTTCCCTGGCGCGCTGGCGCCACGGGGGCCCAGAGAAATCCGCGCTGAACGCCACAAGTTTACGTTTCATGGCGAAATGTCTTCTTCGAGTTAGTTTGTTCCTGCGTGTGTTTCTGATAATGTGTGTCCTTTTTCTTGTTATGTTTCTTCTTCTTTATATTGATGGCGTTTATGTTTACGGCGACTTTTCTTCTTCGACGAAACCGCCCATAACCGTGCGGGTGACCCCGAAGCCCCACCGACGCACCACACGGGGTGGCCAGCACCCCATCCGGGGGGCCCCCGAGCGCACGCGGGAGCGCCCAGGAGGAGTCGACGAGAGACCCTGGTAGGCCTTGGCCGAGGCGGGGGGACTGGGAGAGTTCGTCGGCGGCGGGCGAGGGGGGAACATAAAAAGGAGCAGGCCTTCTCAGAAGGCGGCGGGACTTCTCAGAAGCCCTCGCGCCTCCTTCGGGGAAGACTTAGAAAACTTCTGAGCAGGTCGGGGGACTTCCGAACCTTCTGAGAAGGCTCCTCCTTCTCATTCCCCCCTCGCTCGCCGCCGAGTTAGCGCAGGGGGGGGGGCCTGCCATCGCTCGGACGTCTCCGTACATGTTCTGGTTTCTGGCGCTTTTGTTGAGCAAGACGACCCCAAACTGCTCGTCGACGGTCGTCGCCGAACAACAACATGCACACGTCCGATAGATGCCAATGTGACCGTTGTTTCTCGCTTCTGTGAAGCGGTCGTCAGGGCTGAACCTAAACGGTGTGTTTCGTTTTCGTCTTGTTTCCGTTGTTCCTCGTTTTGTATCCGATCCGCCTTTACCGCAAAACGAAACCGAAACGAAAACGGCCCACGAAAGCGTCAGAACACCGTTTAGGTCCACCCCTGGCGGTCGTTGCCCGGGGGGGGGTGGGGGGGGGGGGCGGCGCTGGTGCGCGTCCGCGCCACCAGCGCATCGACCGCCCGTGCGCACCACAGCATGTACGGGGGGGTGGTCAGGGCACTTTCAGGGACGGCCAGGAGGGGTGCGTCCAAGAGGGGGGGGGGGGGGGGGGCGCAAATCATGGCTTGCGGCACGTGCGTTGCCCAGGGGAGGGCCAGAGACGTAATGCAATAAGAAAAGGCGCCATGACATCTGGGAAGGTATCATGGCCCCCGCCATGATATCCACGCCGGTCATAACCCCCCTCTTTGCCGCCCCCGACAGCTTGGGGGAGGGGGGGGGCGCCCGGGCAGCGTGCGTTTCGGGAGAAGCAACAGCTCACAAGGGGGAGGAGGAGGAGGAGGAGGGGGAGGAGGAGGAGGAGGAGGAGGAGGAGGAGGAGGAGGAGGAGGAGGAGGAGGAGGGAGGAGGAGGAGGGGAGGAGGGGGAGGAGGGGGGGAGGGGGAGGAGGGGGAGGAGGGGGAGGAGGAGGAGGAGGAGGAGGAGGAAAATTGGGGGGGGGGTCCAGCGAAGGCGCTGCGCGCAGCTGGCTGGTTCCTGGCTCCCCGGGGGCGGCCGCACGGGCCGTGCGTCCGCGCACGCGCGCCCAGCGGCTGGGGGGGGGGAGGGCCGAGGCCCGCCGCCCGAACGTCAGGCTTCGCGGAGGGGGCACGTTGCACTCCACGCGTGCGGTCGGACCCAGGATTAGGTCGGGCGTGTCCCCCATACAGGGGGATGTTCGACGAACAAATGAAAACATAGACCACAAATGCTCAAATGATGCCCGAGAGTACTACTCAAAAAATAGTCCCCAGACTGTTTTTTGACTATTTGTGAATATTCCCCCTGTAGAGGGACCGACCCGACTTAAATCTAGGACAGAAGAACATCCTCCGTTGGCCAAAGCACCCCAAACCATGAGACCACTCGAGGGTACCCTCCACAGAGATGCACAAGAGCGTACTATCAGCATGAAGAAGATTGAGGGTACCCTCCCCATGCCTCGGTCCGACCGCGTAAGAAGGATGTACTACAAAGATGCGAGGGCCCAGGACGGCCACGTCGACACATTTCGAGCGGGGCGCGGCCGGCGAAAATGGCCGAGGATGGACCGAAGGGGAAGGATGATGCAAGGGCAACTTTGGAAAATCGTTCCTTCTCACTGCCCGTCTTGACTGTCGGGAGGGGCTGGCCCAGGGCGGGGAAATCGGGCTGGACTCGGCGATGGGCCCACGACAGCGAGTCCGCACTCCTCCTGGGCGGGGTGGGCTGTTCAGGCCCATCCGAGATCCGTGGGCGTGTGTTGGGGGTTGGGGGGGTGAATCGAACGGAAGACCCGAGAGGAGGAGTGCACAGCACTACTAGAAACAAAAGCTTACGGGGAAACCTGATAGGGGCCACGGGCGACAATAAAAGGGCCCTCTAAAAAACCTAGCTTCTGGAAGCGGCCTCTGCGGCCTGTTCCTTTTAAACGAATCCTCTCACACAAGGCTGACATACGCTGCTCAGACGACCGGGTGAGGGGGGAGGGGGGAGCGACAGGGAGGGGGCCGAGCACCCCCAGCGACGGTCTCCGACGCGCCTCTCTCTCGCGCCTGGGACCTCCGAGGGGGGGGGCAGTGCCAAAGGGGACCGTCACTGGGGGGAGGTCGCTGACTTCTCGGGAAAGAAATCCCCGCAGGACCCACGACCCCCCCACCGAACCAAGGCCGTGCACGGCGACCACGAAACCGAACACCGGCCGAACAGACAGCGAAGCCGAGGCCGACCAGCATTGGCAGGCCGAGAGCAGTGTCGAAGGCGCAATGCCGCGGCAACGACACCATAACCGACCGAACAAAGCAGACTGAGACGCGACCGAACCGACCGGACCGTGAAGACCTTTGAGGGCCCACGACCCCCCTCCCCGCGCACCCACATAAAACCCAAGTCCTCCTCCTCCTCCTCCTCCTCCACCTCCTCGGCCCCCGATCCTGGAGCCCCGATCCTCGAAAGAGCTGGCGACAATCCGGAGCGGTGACCACCCCTCAGCACAGCCTGGGCGGGGGCTGAAGGGCAACGCCCTGGGGGGGAAGCGTCCAGCTTGAGTCAGAGGTGCATCGCCGACAGATCGGCAACAGGCCCCCGACAGCAAGCTCGCACCCTCCTGGGCGAGGTCGGCCGTCGGGCCCGGGTCGGCGATCCGTGGGCGATTGGGGGTCGATGCGCCACCCCCTGAGCCCATCCACCTGACCTTGCCCCTGGTCCCGGTGGCTCTCCCATCGCCCGACCACTCCAAGAGCGAAAGGGCTGCAACGTAAGCAAAAAACCAAACGGCACAGACCTCAATTGCGAGGCGGGTTCCGCCGAGCGGAAAATTCGGGGGCCGATGCCCCTGACCCCCGAACGTTAGCGAGGACCTTCTCTCGCTCCGCCGCGGGGAGGCGACGACGACGACGACGACGGACGACGACGGAAGACGGCGGACGACGACGACGATGATGACGACGGACGGCGACAACGGATGGGCTGGAACGAAACAAAGCAGCAGAAGAGGAACGACCTTGGTCGCGAAGAGGGTCCCGCCGCTCACCCCACTCCGGGCCGACGCTGTGCCCCAGCCCCTCGACTGGCGATGACCTCCTCTCGCACCGCCGCGGGGGGGACGACGACGACGACGACGACGACGACGACGACGACGACGACGACGACGACGACGACGACGAGGCCGACGACGACGACGACGACGACGAGGCCGACGAGGCCGCCGAGGCCGCCGAGGCGGCGGCCCCGGGGCGAACTCCGCGCTGGCGCTTCGGCCCCGAAGCCGCCCCACGTCCGGGGCCTGGCCGCGGGCCGCGAAGCCGGGGCAGCTCGGCAGAGGAGGAGGTGCCCATGCCTCGTCCCTCTGCTTATGTCGTCCCCATCCTACGCAAGGACCGCATCCCAGAAAGAATTTCGAGCACCCAGAAAAGTATCAAAAGAGTATCAAGAGAGTGTCGAAACAGTGTCGTGCAAGTGTCTCCCAGGGCCCGACACGTGAAAACCCTCGAGTTTCGGTACTTGTTTCTGGCGCTCGAAACTCTTTCGGTGATCAAGGCTAAAATGGGCTGGAACATCATAACCCTCCGCCCGCTCTCCGCTCCCTGGGGCCTCCCGGGGCGGCCCTCGTCGCCACCGCTGGATCCGCCTCGAACTTCTGGTCGGGGCGCGCCCCGGGACGGGTCCTGGGAGTGGCGGCATCGGGCATCGGTGCCTCTTGGTTTCCCCAGCAGCGGAGGGGAGGGACGACGCAGGAGAGCCAAGCGAGCAAGGGAGAGAGCCGGGCGAACGAGTGGCGAGGGGGGGGGGAGGCAGAGCCGCGCGAGGGAGCCGGAGGAGGAGAGACGAGGAAGCCTGAGGAGGGAACATGAGGCAGCGGGAGGGGGAAAGGAGAACAAGAAGGCGGAGGAGAATGGAGAAGGCGAGAACGAGAAGAAGGGGGAGGGAACGAGGGGGGGAAGCGGACGGAGGAAGGGGGAAGCGGGTGGAGGCGGAGAGAACGAGAAGGACGTGGAACGGGAAGCGGAGGAGAACCAAGAACAAGGAAGATATATCGAAGAGAAAGGACAGCGCGGGAAGGGGAGCCTCGGCGACGTCGTATATGAGGGTTAAAAGGGTTGTCCGAAGGGAGGGGTGCCATTGCTGCCTCTTGGGGCCCTCTTGGAGGGCCTTGGGTGCCTCTGGGGGCTTTGTCTGGGGGCCTACTCGGAGCTTCTTGGAGCCTCTTGGATGCTTCTTGAGGGATTCCTGGAGCCTCCTGGGGGCGCCTTGGGGCCGAAGGCTTGAATTATACATTCGGCTTCCTCCTTTTGGCCCCCTCTTAAGACCGTCCTGGGGCCGTCATGGGCTGTCGTGGGGGCCTCTTGGGCCTTCTTGGGGCTCTCTCGGGCAGCTTGCGAACCCTGTCGGGAGCCTCTTGGGCCGTCCTGGGGCGATCTTGGAGGCCTCGCGGGCCGCCTTGGATGCTCTGAAAACTCAAGAGACGAAACTTCTAAACATGCACGCTTTCCGACGGGAATGGGTCCGCTGTTGCCTCTTGAGGCCCCCTTGGGGAGCCTCTTGAAGCTTCCTGGGGGGGCTCTTCTGGGCCTCTTGGATGCTTGTTGGGTGGTTCCCTGGAACTCCCGGGGGTGTCTTGGGGCCGAAGGCTTGAAATATCCATTCGGGTACCCCCGCTGTGCCCCCTCTCGGGGCCGTCCTGGGGCCTTCATGGGCTGTCTTGGGGGCCTCTTGGGCCTTCTTGGGGCGCTCTCTTGGGCCGTCTTGGAGCCCTATAGGTTGCCTCTTGGGCAATCTTGGGGGGGATCTCGGAGGCCTCGCGGGCCGCCTTGGATGCTCTGAAAGCTGCAGAGACGGATCTTTTCTGAATATGCGTTTTCTGAAAGAAATGTGACAATTGTTGCCTCTTGGGGACCTCTTGGGGGGCCGTTTGGGGGCCCCTTGGGGCGTCTTGAGGGCCTCCTGGGCCGTCTTGAGGCCATCTTGGGCCGCTTGGAGCAATATTTCGGCGATCTCGGGACGCATGGGAGCAATTTAAAAGCCTGCCGCATCTACCCAGGATGGCCAAGAGCCGTCCAAGGAAAGGGCCAGAGGGCGGGTACAGAAATCAGGATTTTCCTGCCCCCTATAACCCTCTACCATATCTCGCTCTCTCTGTCTCTCTCTCTCTCTCTCTATATATATATATATATATATATATATATGCGTGTGTGCACTAATCCATATATGCGTGCATACATGCTAGCATACATACACGCACGCATTCACGCACACACACACACACACACATATATATATATATATATATATACACAGACAGACAGACATGCAAACATACAGCCATACCTACCTACCTACCTACCTACCGACCTACAGACAGACAGACAGACAGACAGACAGACAGACAGACAGACAGACAGACAGACAGACAGACAGACAGACAGACAGACAGACAGACAGACAGACGTACCTCCCTACCTACCTACCTACCTACCTACATACAAACATACATACAAACATACATACATACATACATGCATACATCGATGTGAGAGAGCGTGATCCACCGCCGCTTTACTTTGGAAAATTCACCCCCTCTTCCTCTGGAACCTGGGGTCCCCCCCCCTCGAACCTGGGGTTCCCCCCTTCCGAAAATCACCCTCCCTGGTGGACCCCCCCCCCCCCCCGGCAACCCCCCACCCCGACCTCCCCCCCCCCCCCCCGGGAAAACCGGGGGGGTCACTACCGGCTCGAACCCCTCCACCCCCCGTCCAGAGAACCGAGATCTCGAGGGGGGTCACTACCGGATCGAGCCCCTCCCCTCCCCCCCAGAAAAACAACAGGGGGGGTCATTACCGGTTCGAACCCCCCAGTCCCCCCTCCAGAAAACCGTGGGGGGTCACTACCCGTTCGAATCCCCCGCCCTTCCAGAAAACCGGGGGGGGGTCGTCACTATCGGTTCGACCCCCCCCCAGAAAACCGAAAGGGGTTCACTACCGGATCGACCCCCCCCCCCTCCAGATAACCGATGGGGGTTACTACCGGTTCGAACACTCCCGCCCCCCCTCCAGAAAATCAGGGGGGGCCACTACCGGTTCGACCCCCCCCCTTTCGCCGCTGGCAAACGACTCCCAGGTCCCCACCACCGTGCGCACCACATCCCCACTGCTTTCCCCAGCATCACTGTCCTCACATCACCACCAATGTCCCCGCTGTTGACACCACCGTCCTCACTCTGTCCCCACCAGTGCCCCCACGACTGTCGCAGTGTCCCCACCACTGTTCCCACCACGGTCCCACTGTTCCCACCACTGTCCCCAATGTCCCCACCAGTGTCCCCACTATACCTCTGTCCCATTGTCCCACCACCGCCCTCGCCACCGCCCTCACCAGTGTCCCCACCACCAGTGTCCCCATCATGGCCCCACTGTCCCCACCACATTCCTACTGTCCCCACACCACTGTCCCCACCACCACCGTCCCCACCACTGTCCCACAGCCCCCACCACTGCCCCCACTGCCCCCACTGTTCCCGCCCTTGTCCCCGCTGTCCCACCAGTGCCCCCATTGTCCCGCCACGGTCCCACTCTCCCCACTTTCCCCACGGTCCCCACCATTGTCCCGTTGTCCTCACTGTCCCCACCACTGTCCCATTGTCCCCACTGTCCCCGCCGCTGTCCCACTGTGCTGTCCCACGGTCCCCACTGTCTCCACCACTGTCCCACTGTCCCCACCACTTTCCCCATTGTCCTACTGCCCGCCACCGTCTTCACCACCGCCTTCACCACTGTCCCCCCCGCTACCGTCCCCACCACAGTCCCAGTCCCCATCACTGTCCCGCTGTCCCCTCACCACTGCCCCCCCCGCCACCGCCCCCACCACTGTCCGCACCACTGTCACACTGTCCCCGCGCCACTGTCCCCACCACCACCATTCCCACCATTGTCCCACTCTCCCCACCACTGTCCAACTGTCCCGAAGAGCGGGAATCGTTTGTCGGCGGCGAGGGGGGGGGGAAGGGGGGTTCAAACCGGTAGTGACCCCGTGTTTTTTTTTGGGGGGGTTCGAACCCGTAGTATGGAGGGGGTGGTTCGAACCGGTAGTGACCCCCCCCCCCCGGATTTCGAGGAGAGGGGGGGGGCGGTAAGGAAACCTATATGTTACTATGATGATGTTTTGCAGCCAGGGGATGGATCCTGCCCTAATGCCAACGATGTGATGTATTACTATGCTGTTGCGGCGCTCCTTGCGCCGATGGGCCTAGCAACGCGTGCAAGCAATGTGGCGGCATCGCCCCGTATTGCCCCAACCGTCACTATCTGGTGTCGTTTCCCCTCAATGCTTGCCGTTTGAACCGCTTGAACTTGCTCAAGCACCAAACGTTTCACTAATTGTCGCTTGACTTCGACGCTCTGTCGACACTCGCGAAAGCGCCGCCAACGGCACCCGCACATGGAACACACTGCAAAACCAATGGTTGTTCAATGGTTCAGGCGGTTCAAACGGGAACAGCGTGAAGAAAATGCGGGCGAAAGCCCCAAGGCGAATTGCAAGCGGCAAGACAAGATGGCGGGGACGTGGCGGAGGTTTTTCGCTATCGAGTGTGCAAACGAAGCTAACCGCCCCGAGCGAGTCCTGCCCCCGCGCGCGTCGCGCGCGTTTGCAGGCCAAGCCGAGAAGCTAGCAACTAGGTGGCCCAGCTGCCGCGAGCTGGACGGCTAGCACAGCAGCGCCCGCGCAGAGAATCCCAAGCAAGTCCTGCCCCCGAGCGCACCGCGCAAACCCTGCAGGCGCACGCGAGCATTCTAATCCCAAAACGGCGCTTACGGGCTCCTCATCGTGCCTGGGCCGTTCAATCAGATCATGCGCCGCCGTGGGCCGCGCCGGAGACTGCCGCGTCGCCCTCGTTCCAGCGGCCTGCCATCGACGGCCCCTGCGCGCCGGGCTTGATGTCGAGTTGCTCCTCCTGGGCGACTAGCTGCCCGCCGCCCTCGGGCGCCCCGCTGGCCGCCGCAGCGCCGAGCAGTCCGCCGCGCGGTTCGCGCCCGCGCTGATCCCCCTGCGCGCAAGGCAGCCCGCCGACCTCGGGCGCGCCACTGGCCGCCGCAGCCGCATCGATATCAAGCAACTTCTCCATCTGCTGGGCCAGGTGGCACACCTTCATCCTCTTCTGGGCCGCCTCAGCCTCGCCCTCGTCGCTCGGGCGGTTGCGTTCCGCCGAGAATGCCCCGATCGTCTCGCCGCCCACTGCTTTCAAAGCAACGCGGGCACTGTGCGTGTTCCAGACGTGGTCGGCCACCGCGTCGAACACCCACT